ATGTAAACTCCATGCAGAAAGATGCCGGGTTGCTAACCGGGATGCGAACCGGCAACCCTCTTGATGCAAGGCAATGGTGCTAACCACCGAGCCACCTTGCAGGCAAAACTGGGATGAAAAAGTAAATAAGGCTAAAGGAGCTGGAGGAAGAAGAAATGTGTGGGAGAAAGGCAGATAGATATGTAACAAGCCTGACATGACTTTTGGGAGCTTAAACAGAGCTGGCAGGGTTTTCTGGTTTTACCATAAAATCATTTGGAAAAGAATTTCAAAGTAACACAACGGAAATATCGACAAAGAAACCACATAAAAAGATGGGTAGAAAGGAATGTGGCACTGTTGCTGACATTCACTATCTTTTGTTGATTTTTATACTGTAATGCAGCTCAGCCTTATCAAGGACACAGCAGGCTCAAAGATAAAATATGCAGAGAGACGGATGCTACAAACTCTTTGATTTGCTTTTGGGAAGCAGAGCTGTGTTTACATCATTGATGTCTCTGCATGTTTTATAGAGAACACCCAATTATCTGCAATCGGAGCAGAAAACTAGCATGGAGTGAGCAGAGTAAGACTCAGTGGAGCCGCAGCGCTATAGTGCACTGAACTAACTTAACTGACAGTGGCATGATAAAAAAAAAAAAAAAAAGAGAGAGAGAAAGAATGAGGCAAGAGAAGACAGGAGGGTTTTACCCGAGAGGAGTCATGTACCGACACCAGCAGAGTTATTGTTCATGACTATGACAGGAACACAAGAGCACACAATTCCCAGACAATAGCGCATGTACATTGTGCACACATGCACGCACAGAACAGTGGGCTGACACACCCCCTGCTGTTTCACTTTATGTTTGTGTTTCCATTCATTTTCTTCACTTCTTTAAATCCACTTCAACTTGATTTCCAATCAAAGTGCCACACAGCTGTATTCATTTTCTGTGATTCAAACACAGATACCTACATCAGCTATAATGATAGCTTTCAGTCATCATGTTCACAATCATACCACAGTGAACTTCACTTTGACGCAGACACAAAACTTCAGTGACGGCTTATGCATCATTAAAATGCTCATCCTCGAATTTTGTGTCTGCCTTCATGCATTCACAATGCGTGGCTCTCTGAAGATAAGAGAAGTTTCTCAGCCCTCACTGTTCTGAATTTGTACCACTGCAGCAAGAAATGAGCTCCAAATGCAGGTCAGCCTCTTCCCAACTGAGTGACTGTCTGGATGTTCAGAGGTTTTGCAGAGCGGGACGTCCACTGAGCATCCAAGACTGCTCCAGTTAAGACATAAAATGGATGATTAAGCCAACTAAAATTAGCCCAAAAGATGAAAGCTGCAATCCCACAGCAGCGGTTGGTTTCCTAGTTTTCCTACAGGGAGGACCCCAACCCCCACCTGCCCTACCACAAGCACAGATGGATGCAGAGTACTACAGTATGCTTGGGTGGCGAGAGAGACTGCACCTAAATAACAATGAGCATTGATTCAACATGGCTTTGATCCCCCTGATCGCTCAAATCCTCTTTAAAGTCAGCAGCTTTGCCTCTCTGTCACTCACTATGTCTTGCTGCCATCTCCAAAACAACATCTGCTTCAATACATGGCGGCACCGCTTCTCATATAAACAACCGCCGTTCACCACGACATGACAAATTTAAGAGATGACTGGCCGAATATAGCATCAGCAGCATATTATGTGAGAGAAAGTGATCCGCTATAAGGGGCTTACATAAGCTTTTAAAACACTGGGATGAAAAGCATCACCGGGAGGACAAAGTGAATGGACTCACTCTCTGTTACAATGGATTAGAGAAAGAGGAAGAGGGTGAGTGACGGTTAAGTGCTTTTAAGCTCTGAGAAATTCCTCAGCAACATCTTCACTCCCATTCCTTACATTTTGAAAGCTCCAGACAGCTGCAAGTTATACATCACACAGCACTTTAAAGATGTCAAACACACTGCAAGAACAGAGCAGGACTTCGTGGTACCTGCTTGGACAGAAATAAACTGTACGGCTTGTACGACTAACATAACACTTAAGAATTAGGGTCACAGCTGCATAATTCATAGCTGGAAGCGGTATTATCTCATCTACTGTGGTAAGTATAAACGCTACAATTAGACAAGCGGTCTGAACTGAGGAGGGATTGCCCTAATCTACCTCTCCTCTGTCTTGCTCTCTACCTCTCATTATATTTGAATACCTAAATAATATTCAAACCAGCACAGGAGCAGAGGCTGTGTGCGATGACACCTGATGGGTTAATATGATTTCAGTCTAGCAGGGAAAGTCATGACCTAAAAGAAAGCATCAGTGTCCCAGCGCTGCCCTTCAACTCCTCATCTCACTCTCCTCTCCTCCTCCTCGGCAGTCACATTGAGTTCATCCACACAATCTCAAGTACCAAAGGGTGAAACTGATCTGCTGTCCTTGATCGATTGCGCTTGCATCCGAGCCAATGCAAGTTTCTTCCCCCCCTCCTCTACAAGCACACAAACAATGAAGAATGTTATCTTACATGCTGCTCTTCTTCCGAGGAGAGCTGACGGATCCCTTCCTGTGTTGGCTGAGGGAGCCCCCCATGGCAACAGCGGAGTCTGTGTTTGTTTCAGGTTTATCCCAGACGCTCTGTTTGTGCTATTCCTCCTTCCAAGGTTCACCTCTGCTTCTCCTCTAGATAGGCTGGCTCAGCGTCAGAGCCCCACACGGCGCTATTTCTCATGACTGATCAGTTATTCTTTAACCAACCAGCCTCTCTTCCCATCGTCCTTTTCCTCTTCCACTGTCACCGTTGATGCACTATAACCGCTCAGAAGTACTACACATGAATAGCTCCGGTGACAGTCCCGCCTCCTCGCTCTACTCCTCAACCTCCATCATCTCTCTCTCTCTCTCTTCCCAACACACACACACACACACACACACCAGAGGCAGATTACAGTCCCCTTGTTAGGCAGTGCAAAGCCTTTAAATGGAGAAAGACAGGGAGGTAAGAGTGTGTGTGTGAAGGGGGGTTACTTTAAAACCCAGAGTCCAAAGAGCTGGAGAAGGGGGGTAGATGGAGTGTGTGTCAGTGTGTCATGGGGGTATCTGGCAGGCTTGAGAGTATTGTTTAAGAGAGAAAGAGTCTCTTCTATTGTTAGTCAGCTGAACAACAGATCTGAGGTACAGGGGGGAGGGAGAGATGGAGGGAGAGTTGGAGGGAGAGTTGGCGGCATAAAACACAAGCTCCACTTGTTGTACCACATTCCCGCTGCCTGCTGTGACCCAAAACCCACTCCAGAGTTTTAGCATGACAACACACATGCCCTTCTCTGTAAGGGATTTCAGTTTGCTTGCATGCTTGGGTTTTTCTAAGCTCACTAGGCCTGACCTCTTAGCCTGGATGCATTTCAAAATCAGGTCAAACAATGCAGTCAGTATCACTAAAAAGGCTTCATTTAGGTAAAGAAAAAATAGTTCTGAACACACGAAAAGCTAGTTAGACATAGTAAATAGTTTAAGCTAATCCAGCAGAGGCCCTTAGTGGTTAAATAGGTAACTCATACCTCCTGATTCAGGCCTGTCCCATCCTGTTAGCCTCCTGTGATGACATGAAGAAAGGCAGAGGACTGGAGGGTCAGGCAGCGGTGCCCACCACAGGCCCGCCTTTCAGACCTACTGAGAGGCTTTAGTGCATAATTCCTCCCACTGAAATGAATCACATGAGGCTCACAGTGGACCTCCTAATGTCTAAACGACGTTTCTACACGATAGACAAAACCACACAGAACAAAAGCGGCACTGAGATAATTACCGTTCAACAGTTCTGACTCACGGCAAGAACATGAGACGTTTAATGGTCTGTAAAGCCATTTAACCGTTACTCTGGACGTTCGTTAGTTTGCTGCCACTTGTTAGCCTCGTAAATTACGAATAAATACACGAACAATGTTACAGTAAAAACAAATAACTTTGGCGAGTAGTTTAGAACCAGTTTAAGTCAAGTTTAAGACTTCAACTTGCCTCATGGTTGCTGTTCAGAGCTGCAGGTCAATTCAGCCGCTGCAAGTGATGCTGTTTGGTACACGACTGCGCATGCTCGAGCAAATTACCATAGTAACAAGGTTTAGATTGTAAATTGGAGAAATCTGATTTACAAGGTTTGTCGTGTTTTTGTTACAGTAAAACTCCACTCTCTGTTTGATTTACTCTGATTACTCTGTATGTTATTGATTTGATTTAAAAACAGCTCAATATGCTGTTGTTTTTTTGTTTATTTGTTTGTTTTGATGGCCCGTGTTAACAGCATAAATACCCTACAGAAGGCTGCAGTCACTGCTGGAACAAGTATTCAGATCATTAACTTAAGTAAAAGTACCAATACAGCAATGTAAAAAAATAAATAAATAATCTGTTACAAGTACAAGTCATGTGTGAAAAATCCTAGTTTAGAATTAGCAACAAAATGTAGTTTAAGTATTAAAAAACTGTTTTAGTCTCTCTGAATAATATATAACGTTATATATGGCATCTTTATTTTGTTAAATTATTAATACTGAAATATCAGTGGCTAGGCTGCATGTCACTGTTAGCTGCTGTAGGTGGAGCTGCTGTAAAATACTTCATACACAGATTTTTTGTACAGAGAAGCCACATAAATATGAAGGGTTGTGACATTAATAATGCAGAAGACAAAGTTTTTTCAAAAGACATCAAAAGCCCAAAAGACTGGAAACTACTAGTTTGATTGTCAGCAGTGTAATCTATTTCAAAAGCTTGCTATTTTCTACATTGTGTGAAATTTTCATTTGAAAGTGGCTAAAGCTGTCACATAAGTGTAACTGAGTAGAAAGTGCAATATTTTCAAGTGAAATGCAAGAGTTTACACATAAAGCAACAACAAACAGGCAATACTTAAGTTGAGTATGGCAAAAGTGCACTTGGTTGAATTCTTGTGTTTTCAAACACAGAATAAGCATGCTTCAGAGAACTCCATAGAACACAACAACACACTTGTAATGTTTTATTATGGCACACAAAACATGTAACCACATTCAATGGGTATGTATTCAGGAAGGGAAATGTTTGTTTTTTGGTATGTGTCAGCACATTAGTATCAAATATCACAACAAGTAGTTCTGTTAATGAAGAAGAGTCCAAGAGTCAAAGTCCTGTTTTTACTGTTCAGACACTATCATTTACAAAGAGAATAGTGAGGTTTAAGAAAACATTGTCATGGTAACTTTGTGTTTAGTGCATTTCTAAAAGAAGAAAATGAACAACCCCAATAGGTTATTTTAATTGTGCAGCTATTACACCCAGAGGGCTGAGAAACAGCTCGTTCAGAGCTTTGGTGGAGGGGCTGTGGTGCCCTGACAGTGCATAACAAATGATTCTAACACACAGTTTCTGAACTTCGTAATCTGGACCTTGTGTTTTTTTGATATGCAGATTTGGCTTATTTATAATATACTGATATTTGAAGTATGTATTTTTTTTAATATATATATAAAATAGATGGAATAGCTTTGGAACACACACTTTCTATATAATTTATTTTATCATGCTCTTCAAATGAAAATTTTTATATGAAAATTCTTATTGCTGGGTCCATGAAGGTGATGGAAATGTTGAGACCTACAATTAGGTTAGGACCAGAATATTTTGAGAATCTCTGCTCTCACATTACAAAGAATTGCATGCAGTACAGATACAAAAGGTGAATTACAATACCTCGATACAAAGGAACAGATAAGTGGAACATGTATCTTTTGGCCCTTAGATAATGCAAAAGTTAGGACTGTCTATATGAGATCTTAGAATAAACAGTATGTTACGTTTATGGACTCAAGCAAGATAAAGTTATGTGGGTTGACTGTAAATAGCAGAAAGAAGAGAGTGGCGACGGAGGAATGGCACAGACCTGGAGGATAGAGGGTGGAGCGGCCTTTTTGTACAGTTTACACAGTGTTGTAAAATACAATAATCACACACACTTACACTGTGAAAAGACAACCAGGTCATCTTTTGAAGCACCTGCATTTCCGTATTTCAGTTCTGATATAATTCTTCATTAGGATTTCTTCTTTCAGACACATGGTAGATATGATCAAGGTGGCATACATACTTTAAATCAAACAAAAATGTGAAGAGAAGACCATTACCATAATCTTCAGTACCAGTATAGAAGTACAGTATGTTTGTGAAATGGCAGGCATGACATCAACATTACTGTAACATTGCACAAATGTAGGAGCAGCAAATTTAAGTTTCAAATGGCCTTGATGCGGGCACAGACAACAGAGCTGCCAGGAAACTTGTAACAGACAAAATATCAGCCTTCATTTTCCAAATCAGAAAGCAAACATTGTAAGGTTAAATAATACTCTAACCTGGTCTTATGTTAAGTTATGCTAGAGGTTACTTGGTTAAGAGAGCTTTAACTTCAAAAACAGATGCCCTGTTGAACACACAAACAACATTTTAGTGAATTAGAATTCTACATTTATGATTTTTAGAGTCTGGGAAATAAAAAAAAAAAATTATATTACAATCTATAATTTTGATGACATTCTGGAATTTTTAAAGAATTTTTTTTTTGTCGTCAATTACAAAGAAATGCCAGTTGAAAATGAATTTCACTTAAAAATGAATTCCACATGCAATGCCAAGCAATAAACAATATATAAGTACGTACTGGAAGTACTGTGTGCGTTTTCTGGTATTGACGGTATTTAGTTACTGAAAGTGCAAATTACAGTAAAGTAAAAGAATGACTCAAAAAAGTGCGACCAGGAGCAGGACGATGATGTTTGGGTGCATTTGAAACAACTGACACCGACTCCAATCCTGCAAAGAGAGTTTTTGACTGGCGTACATGAACCAAGATCACCTGACTGCAGTCAAATGCCCACTGCCAGAGGAGGAGCGACTGTGGCAATCAGGTAACACCAAGACAGTAAGGCATTCTGGAAGAGGGTTGTGCAGCCTCTGGCTCCGTCAGCTGTCCTTCATTTCATTTTCTTACTTTCAGATTACTGTCATGCAAGCAAGTATACATTCATACGACTTTATTACTGTTGAGGCTGTTCAAAGGCCACACCTAGCTTGTCGTAAATCTCCTTCAGTAGCAGGAGCGCTGTATCCTCCGACTCCCTGACAAGACAGACAAACAATTTACTTGTAGTAAAAATTTTAATCAATGAAGTAAAGTGTGATACAACTAAAAGAAAATGTCAGGATGAAAAAAAAAGACAAAGGAGCACAGTTCCTGCAGTCAACACCACCACAGATATGCAGGACTCACCAGTAACACAGATGAGACTGGATGGCAAACAGGTACTCGTTGAAGCTCTCAATGGGTTTTTCCTGAAGCACATAGTCAATTCGTCTTCCTCCATTCAGCATTCCCATCTTAATCTCGGGCTGCTCTGGCTGCTCTGGTGACACTGAGGACTCTGCCTCCTCACACACCGCTGCAGGAACAAAAACCAAAACAGATAAGGCTGAATAGGCAGACAACAAAATAGTGACAATAGCCAGCAGCAGCTACCTGTTTTGACTCATCTTATTTGTTAAAATGAGAACAGATAATCAGATAACAGAGTGGAAAAAAGAAGGCAGCAGTTTAATCCACCACTGCTCTGCCAGTGAACTAAAGTCCCATTAATCTACTCGAGAGATGAGTCACTGTCTGAGTGTTGTAGGTAGAAATGATGATAAGATAACAGCAACAGAGCAGGAAAGATTTGTTCACATATGTTAAAAAGATAGGATGTGTTAGACTGTGCTGCTAATCAAAGATAAAAAAGTAATTCAGTCACCATCGAAAACAAGAAGAACTATCTCAGCTGAATGGTCATTTGCCTTGGCCAAGAATATTTCAAAAGATGATTTTAAAGGTTGTAGCAGATGTGAAAATGTTCAAATTGCAAAATGTAGTGTTGTTATAGGACCTATTTAATGCACTGTTGTACTTTATTGTGATCCTGTGAGATTGGGGGTGTGTTCCATTGCCTAGTACATATTTTAAGCGTACTTATCTCCATATTTGAATGAGTCAGGTTTAACCATTAATATAATGTCATTATTGAAAAGCACTTTGGGTCAACAACTGTTTTCCATTAAAAATGTGCAATTAAAAAAAACGGTGGCATGATGGTTTTTGAGTAGATGCCTGCTATGTTACAGTAAATCATGGAGTCAACCTTTTGCTTTGACATGAAAAATGATAAGTACATGTCTTTAGGTCATTTTTGTGGTATGTGAATAAAGTTATTGTTTATGACATGTATATATAGAGTGTATGGTTGAAATATATGTATATATATATACAGAAAATACAATGCACAAGGTTATACGATATAGTTTCTCATAATGTACATATCAAAATGTGAGGAAGTGTAAAGCTCACTTGCTTTTGTTTTGCTTTGTTTTTACAATATTTTCTGTTTTCTTGTATATATAATTTTGTTGGACCCCCAGGAAGAATAGCTGTGGCTTTGCTGCAGCTAATGGGGATCTTAATAAACTAAACTAAAATTGTTGGTATGTTGTGAATCCCTTGTTTTCTTACGAGCAATCTCACAAGGGCTCCACACAAAGACCTAATGCGGTTCTGATAAGCCCTAAACTGCTGACTGTTATCTTCCTATACATTGTGCATTTCTGAGTCATCTACTTCAGCATGTTCTGGCTTGCAATTCTAAAATCAAAAGACGTTAATCTTTTTCTCAAGTTACCTAACATTATGTAAGGGTTCCAGATGAAAAACTCCTTGTTGCCTCTCTAAGTGACAGCTCGCGAAAAGTAAGAAATGTCATTGAATTGTACAGTCTGTTCTCACAACAGCTGGATTCCCCTTGAGCCATTTAATGAACAGCCAGAACTGACTTGGATTTAGTATTTAAGGTGCAGGACGTGTAGCCGCATGTACCTACTGTGGGTGACCTTCTGATGAATGGTGTTACCTGTAGGTTCAGCTCCAGCCATATATACTCATGTTTCAAAAAAACAATTGTGATCACTACTGTGCTGCTAGGGCATACAAGAGTGTGCTCTGGCCAGATCCTCAAGTGGTTTAGGATGCTGATGATCAGCGAAGCGGTCAGTGAATTCAGCCAATCAGAAATAATAGCAGGAAAGGGAGGAAAAGGCCTGAGGGAGGTGTCAGTAAATTACGCTGAAGTTGAAGACTAAATGTATAGCAGGTGGTAATACAGTTAGGCAAGGGGTGAGGAGGAGCAAAAGGGTAGTGAAGAGCCTGTGGCAAAAAAAAGGTGTAAATTATATAACATTTGCTTTTTGCATAAGAGCAAATGTGCCAGAATAATCCCATGTGACTAAGCAGATTGTTTTTTAATCCTGCAGGTATTGTAGAATATCATTAACAGTTGAGAAAGTCGTAACAGTGTTTACTTTTGCCTCTTTTGTCTCAGTAATGGAACATTTTCCAGATTAAAGGTGGTAAAATGAAATACAGCAAACTGAAGTGGTTTACAGCGGCTCATAGGTTTTCACAAAGTCATGAGAGTTTAGAGAGAGTTCTCTGAGAGAAGACTGGAAAGTTATTAAACCAATCCCACAGCAGTAATAAGATAGAATTACTTAATGTACTCATTTTCATAACTCATTGCAGCCTTATGACTATCCTGGCTTACCTTGGAAGTAATGCTTATGAAGGGCCCTGGGCCACTCCAGTATTTTAGTCCAAAAACCAGCACTTTTGTCTTCCCTCTTAGCAGAAGCAGTGTCTGCCGCTGAGGCTGAGGTACAAGGTAAAGTGGTAAGGGGTGAGGGAAGCAGTAGAAACCACCAGACAGAGCAAAACAGAGTGGGGGGGAGGGTGGCAACATGCAGAGAGGGGTGAGAGGAGTATGAGGACACTGGGTTAGACAAACTCTTGTGCACAGTCACACACACACAGCACCCACAAATAATTAAGGGCAAGTAAAAGCGCCTTTTATACCCTGTGTCTCCTGAAGGTTTCTCTCCACTGTAGATTCTCCTTCCTCCACCGGGGGCAGAGCGGCAACAGGTAGTCTGGCAAAGGACTGCCATGCTGTCCGTAATGATCCCAGTACATTGTTCTTCAAATCCATACTCATGCGGGTCAAGCTGTCCTTCAGTTCTACAGGACACAGACAAACAGAGATACACATTGAACTAAAGCTCATACAACAGTGTTGGTGAACAAAGTCAACAAACAGGAACAGTCATACCCAGGTGCATTCTCTTGCGGCCTTTATGGTGAGGGATTAGCATGGGCTCCACATCCACATCTGAAACAATCATGGGCTCTATCCGATATGCAACAGGATCATACTACACAGGGATGAAAGACAAAGACGGATGCGACTTTTATTAGATGATTTCTTTCATAATGTAGGAAGAGAAAGATTCCAATTTCAGTGTCTTCTCTTTGATGGCACAATCTAGGTTAGCATAATCCTGGATGCAACAAGTTGGCTCGAGTAAGCAGGTCAAGTGAAGTTCAGTGTACGTGTTGGTACTCTGAGTTTTCAGGTCATGATCTCAGTCACATTTTTAATTTCCAACATGAAATAGTGCGTTCAACATTCAAAATTCTTCTCTAAATGTATCTTTATTTGAAAGACAAAATATAAACCGTATGTGTGACAAATAAAAGCCGGTAAGATTCTTTTTGGGTCACAGCGCAGGGTGTGTGCTTGAATGGGAAGATGCAGTGAATGTGTGATTACTCACTGGGTGGTAGATGTTGTAAAAGCTCTTGCAGGTTGGGAAGGTGTAGTTTGGGTCGATGCGTTTAAGCCCTCGTACAGTCAGAAACATTCCAATTGGGGAGCCGAACGCAAAAAACGTCTGAGGTTGGAATGCCAGCTGTGGATAATCAATGGATACCTGTGGACAAAAGGTAGGGTCAGAAACTTGTGCTGATTTTCACAGTTTTTGTACTAATAGGAAAGCAGGACACATATACATCTATAAGGAAAATAGAAATGGGAAAATATTTGTTTGGTTAAGAGTGATGTTCAAAATCATTAAAACTACTGTGTAATTCATGACAACACGACAATGTTGAAAGAGCAGGTAAGGGGACGATCAGGGAGATGATCGCTCATGCAGGACTGACACGTGTGTGAGCACAGATACAGAGTGTGGCACTGGGTTGGACACCTCACTGGGACAAACATGGCACAATGTGACTCTACCATGGAAATTCTATTGCTCATAAAATAGCCACGACAATTCATGTGCCTTGAGACTTCCTGACCAAACTGCATAGTATGTTGAGAAAGTCCAGGCACAGTGAGATCAAAAACAGCAAAGGACAAGGCCTGAGAGAAAGTGGACACCCTGTGAGACACACCTGTCCCTTGGCTATGCCTCCATTGGTCTGTCCAGGCAAGCGGGGAGGGGGAGGAAAGAAGCAGGAAGGTGCATCAAAGCCTCACCTCCCAAGCACAAATAAACATACTGTACATGTGTGCATGTGTGCTACCTGTCCAATGCCGACATCGAAGTACTCATAGTCTACAGCACTGGTGACAGACTGCGTTCTGTGGAACTGGGACTGCTGAGGCGTCACTCCTGAAGGCTGGTTACCATCGTCACTGGCGGCTTGAGGTGGAACTTGTAACCCCGACAGCTGACGTACTGCCTCTGTCTTACAGTCCTGTTTTGATTAAAAAGTGTTAAAATGGATATTTGAGCTGTAGATACAGTTGTCGCAATATTTTCACAATCATTTGGATCATTTTGGATTATTGGGAGAGCTCCAAGCAAAAGAGGAACTGGCCATAAATTAAATACATAAGCTGCATCAAACAGCAGGCTTCTCACGCTTATGTACAGTAAACCAGGAACTATACAGTAAATAGATGCATCCATCAATACATCAGCATCAGTCAAACAACAAGCAATACATGCAATGAGATGCTTTTTTGTGATAAAAAGGCTAATGGGGTTATTATGTGGCCTTAATGGACAGTAAAGGATATAGTAATGTAAAACATAACTACTCAACTATATTTCCTCCAAAGTCCTGATCCAAGCATATTCAAAAAGAGTTAGGTTAATGGTCACATTCATGAAACAAGAAAACAGAGTATAGTTTAATCTATGTCTGACCTCTGGAAGCCACTTCCTCCTGACGTAGTTTAAGATCTTCTTCCGGGGTCCAAGAGGAATGCCTAAATCTTTGAGATCACTGTCTTGGCAAAGAGCCTAAAAGTAGAGATTCATGTGTTTTTAAGTCAAATCAAACTTGCCTCAAGGAGTTTTACATTATACAACACCCCTTTCTTTAAAACTTTTAATTCTAACTGTGCATTGTGCTTGATTGTGCACATCCATTACGTGTGTGTGTGTGTGTGTGTGTGTGTGTGTGTGTGTGTGTGTGTGTGTGTTTGTTACCAGTGATTCAAGGTCGAGGTTTTCGGCCTTCAGGATATCCAGGTATTGCTGTAGGCCCAGTCTGTTCAGAGTCTGCTCCAGTGTACCAGGGTTCAGATGACAGAGGTCACCAGAAGGCACCTTAACCACAGATTAGGACAGAACGGAACAACATTTTTAAAAATCTGTATATGGAGAGATATTCAGTCTTTTTCCATGTATACTGATGCTATCTTTTACAGTGTGTGTCCTTTCATACCCCTTCTCTGGCTTGCGATCCATTTCTCTGATTAGTTAGCAGGTCAAACAGGATCAGTGAACCTGAGGAACAGAGCAGAAAAGCTGAAAGTCAGCATGTTTATGTTTGACTTCCTCGTGACTTTGTGTGTTTCTGAGTTTGCACATCTCTAACCCAGGCTGTGGCCCACTACTGAAACTGCTGCATTGAATTCTGGGTGTCTCTGCTTAAAGAGGGTGTGCAGTCTGTTGATCTCTGAGGCCACCGTGTCCACTATGGTCTGGCAGTAGGTGGGGCTGTTATAGAAAAACAAGTCCAGCAAAGTGTCGTTGGTAAAATGTCTCAGCCTGCTGATGCTGGGTAGAGTGATCCTCTGGATGTCCCTAGAAGGTGGGGAAAGAGGGAGAAAATAAAAAACAAGGACAGCAAGTTTGACAATTTTCAGCAACTAACAGAGACCCAAGTAGTGATGATCAACAGAAGAATCTTTCTTACTACTTACTCGTCCACACCAGTGGCGTCCCCGTGCAGAGCGCTGTGCCAGTTGACTGGGAGGAACTCCACTCGGCCCACCTGGCCATCCTGCTGAGCTCGTTTGTAATGTGAGGCCAGGAGGGACAGGGAAGCACTCCTGAAGTCATTTACTGGAGAGACACAAGACAAAAAAGTCACAAATGCACATAAATGTTTAAATATAAAATACAAACTTACACACAAACTTACCACATTGTATGATGGATCTAAAGCGTAAGTCACATGCAGGGCCGATGCCATGCACCATAAAGACGAGATGGTCCACCTTTTCTGATTCCCCTGGAATCACAAACACAAATATGAAGAGCCCCACTACAAATATTGACTACAAATATGACTGTGGGTAATACAGTAAAACTTTTACAGTGTGCTAATATACACACCGTCAGGTATTTCTACAAAGATATTGTCGACTCCCCTCTTGACAGTTCGCGGTCGAGTCTGCTCGGAAGGGGTGGAAACCCACTCATCTTGCAATCCTATTGGCTGATACTGCATTATCAGCTGAGACAGGAGCAGTGAACAGAGGTTTGTTAGAAGGGAACAACATCACCAATTTAAAATATATCTATTGTTTATCATTTAAAACCTATCAAACATCTTTTTGTGGAGTATTTTGTGTTACGTGTGCTTGTGCTATCTTTCTCTATATTTAAATACCATTTGCTTTCATTTTGTGTCCTGAAGCAATGAATTATGAAGGTTTTGTATTCAGAAAATCCATAGTTTGGCTTTGTCATGTATATGCAGAATCTATTGCGCACAAGGTAATGTTTCAACAGCAGAACTTACCTTGGGATTGTGTAAGATGACAGTCTCTCCAGTCGGAAAGTCCAGTTTCCTTTTCCATTCATCCAAGGTCACTGCTATCATATATGCATCCTGAAAAATTGGAAGACATGCAAGTGAGAACCAACATATAAGAAAAGAGTAACTTGGATAAAGGCAAAGCAAGTAGGAGAATGAAGTCAGAAGCTTCGAAAGCTCAGCGTCAGTGTCTGACAACCTCCAGACTTTTGCTGAAGTCCTCCTGGTAAGGCATGAATTTAGTGTCTTTATCTCCTTTGTAGAACCAGGTACAGCGGCGGACTTCAGTGGGAGCTTGCTCCCAATACACAGCGTAGCGCATCCTCTCCTTGACACGTACATCATATCGCTGTCCATCCACAGCCACCACCACATCCTCCTCCTCATCTCCTACTGCAAAGTAAACACATCAACAGGCAGATGTAAAAATAATAAACGTTCTTACCCCAATCTTCACAACTAAAAATTCTTGCTCTAAAAACATGTTCCCTGAAGTTCATATATTAAAAAATGATGACACTTTGCATTAATCATTGCTCACAATAGTGTAGCAGAACCATCAGCGGGAGGACAACTCTACTCTTTTTGAACAATATATTAGCAAAAGACCTTCAACCTTGTCTCACTTTGTAAAGTTTGATATGATCAAAGAGAAAGACAATAAGCTTTATTGACTGCAAAATTCTTATATAGAATTTGAAGAAATCCCTACATTCAAAGGTTTGGAAATCATTTGCTGCTGTTTTTCTGTTTTACATTTTCCTTTGAGGGGGGATGTGCGTGATCGTAAAAGTAAAGTAGATTTTCCGTATATTACAGGGAGAGTGCTGCACCTGTCAAACCATGCTGTGTCATTTTAGACCACACAACTATGAAACTTAAATCTGAATCATAGTTAAGCTCACATAAAACCACCCAGAAACTGAATTTTAACTTGATGTTAAATTGCCAGTAACAGTGAGCATGTCCTAACAGGAGGATTTTATCGCCCTGCTGGGGATCAGGGTAGTGATGACAGCAACGCTTAGACGTTTTATCTTTCCAACAGCTGTTTATAGCAAACACACTCTTTTCCAACTTTTCAAATAGTGACATAATCCACAACCTCTGATAACCTGTTTATAATGATATATTAAATGCACACTTTATTAACCAGATGTGATTTGCATACGCACTCTTACCAGTGTTGCAGGCATTCTCTAGTTTGTCTGAGTCTTCTGTGCTGAAAGGAAGCCAAGAGGTGTTGTCATCGGCACGTCGGCAGAAGAACCAGTGAGGCTGCACTTCTCGGTAAGGAGCTGGGACCGCTTCCATGTCAAGCATCTCAAAAGAAGATGTGGAAGAAGGAGAGGCCTCCTCCACCACGGGTGAAACCTGAAGAAAAATGGTGGCAACATAATCAAGACCTGAAATCAATATTTCTTTTTCTTCACGTCAGAAATATTCATCAGTTACCAGGTACAAAAGAAGTGCCTGCTATATATCGTATATATACCAGTGTTTTACATCTTTAGAACAGCCCACCGTTCAACTCTGAAGGCACAAGAATACGTAAACATAGAAGCCCGAACAAAGTCTGCGATGTTCTATTAAAATGGTATCAAACAAGCTGATACCATTGGCTAAAGCAAGGTACGCTGGGTAAGAAAGGATCAACCCTCCCTTTAGCAGGATGCACAAAGCCCTGTTTTATTCTTTCCTCCGCTACAGACTGTCTCTTGTTTCTTCTGCTTTCCTAAACTGATACAACTACAGCTTGTAAACCATCTATTTTCACTGAATATCTTAGGTCCACAAACAATGCTGCCATTAACAGTTTTGGTACTGGACTGCTCCTGGATGTTGCAAGAGAGAGCGTACCACAGTTTGACACAACGACGACCCACAATACACACAGATTACAAATCAGCAATCCGACTTACAGTGTAAGGTGCATACAGCAGGTTTACAGATTCATACTAAGATAGAGAATGAACTGGAATGTGAATGGAACACCCTTCCTTCCAAAGAATTATATCTTGTCACTCGACTTGTAAATAATATCTTTCCACATGAGTCCTGTCTGCCAGGCTCACAGTCACAGCTGTCACAGGACATGTGGTTTCATGTCATGCAACACAATCTCTTTAGCAACAAATTCACAGGAATATGAATTCTAAAAGTTTGTCAGTGAATGGCAGATAGATTCTGACACCAGCCCGGGACACCACGCTAGGTTTGTTGTCTCTCCTGCTCTACTTGCTGTGCCAAAACTTTACAATGTGTGAAGATCGTAAATGGGGACAGCATGTGATGTTCACCTACAGCTCTACTCATTTCCCCAGACACAAGCTCAGCATTTCCATTTATGCTTCTGTCACCTGGTGAGCAAAGAATGCTAAAGCTATTTTGGTTTGAGAGGACAGGAGCAAAAACAAACACTTACATGTTGTTTTTCAGTTGCAAATGAGATTAACTGAAAGCTGGTTTTGAAGAGCTACAGTACAATGCAACATTTTACCAGCTGACTCAAAATCAACAGTTCAAACTCAGAATCACTTCAGTGAGTGATACAGTCTGTCAACACTGGCAAGGCCTTCAAATTTTGCAAAAATCCCATTTCGTATCACGTTCAGTGTTTTGTGTATCTTACCAAATCTGTTTGGGTTTCCCCTTGCCATAGAGACCTCCATGCGGTTGGACCAATTCCTTCCTCTGAAAAATCCCCTTCATTTAGATAGATTTGGTGGTGTGTGCATACTTAAAACAACACCATCAATGCTCCTCTGTCTCACTTTAGAGAGACTTAAATTGTCAAGTGAAAGCCAAGAGCTTTTCTCACTGGTGTGACAGTGAACAAATGTATTTACATCACTGAAAATTACCCTGAAACTGAAAATCAGATTCTAGTTAAATTGCAACTGACAGTGACCATGTCCCATAAGGAGTCAAGTGCCCTATTCGGCATCAGGCCAGTGATGACAACATTATCGTGTCGACATTTTATTCCTTAACACAGATTAGCCAAGACCTGAAAATAATCCTTAATGTAAACCACCCAGCGACATCCATTGTGTACTTCAATCTTGTTTAAACTTGTAATGTATCACCCCAACAACTGAATAAAACTTAATCAAGACGTATTCATTCACATCAACAATTTATCATCAGTTTCTCCAACTGAGCCTATGTTGTGATCTTTTTCAGCACTGGACGCGTCCTTTTTGTATTACATCATATCAGTGTTTGTTTTTTTAAGAACATTCATGCTTGTTATAATGGGAAGCAGCCATACTGAACAAGCCCAGACTACACACAAGGTCTCTCTGATGTTTTTGTGACGACGAAAATAACCTGGGGTCAGAGCTATGGTTGGATTAAGGTTAAGGTAAATGGAAACAACATACACATATTCAGACACGCACCTTCACCTGATCCTCAGGTGTTTTCTCTGCAGCCACAGTCTGAGTGGGGCTGTCAAACAGGTCCTGGGTGTTGTCGTTTGGGGCAGCCTGAGATAGACCCCCCTTCTCACCCTGACTGAATGACATTAGCCCAACCCTGAGCCCTTAACCTGAGGGGGGGGGCAGGAGGCCACACAATCACAGGACCTGTAACAACATGAATGAAAGAGAGAAAACAGAAGGCCTAAGCACTGTGATAACCGAGATGGTAGTGATAGCAAACTCCCTGACAACTTGATTACTTTTAACTTAGCGTGATGATGGAACAGAGCGATAAACAAACCAGACCACGCTGGCTTACACATTACTGGACAAAGGTTTAGACTTATTTTCTAGCCAGTTTGGATGAATCACTGGCAATACTCAACTGCTGTAACATTTAATGCAATGAAACATACAAATAGTCAGACCACCATTGAACTTAAGTCACACAATATGCATGTATTAGGAATTATGTTGACGTATGTGACAATGAAAATGATTCAAACTATCTCGAACAACAGTAGCTAAAGGTATTTCTGATGTTGTTGGTGTATTTCACAGGATGCACAGAACACATCGTAGAAGCCGGGGGTTGTTGACGGCAGTTCAGATTCAAGCTAGCTGAGTTACGGTGGCTACAAGGGACACTGGTGTTAAGTTCTCAAATCCTGTCGGTGTTTTAAACATCGCACCACTCGTTACAAACGGTCGGTAACTTAGACTCACCGTAAACTTCACATAGACCGAGAGCAGAGAGTTCGTATTCGTTGCTTAGCTCGCAGTGGCTAGCTCGGCTAGCCAAGGACAGCCTCCTGTCAAACGCTGCCAAGCTCCGGACTCGGAAATATGACGATTATAAGACAAGCCGTCATGAAAGACTTCTCTAATTGAAAAAATAACAGCTTATGTCTACTAAAAAAAGTGAGAGGAAGTTTTCTGTGATGACTGAGTTTTTACAAATGTAACAATTAGGGTTGAAATGCGTAAATGCAGCGTTCATTGCTAATGAAAGCGTATTTTAATACATTATTGAAGTCTTAAATGTATTTTAGGACAGTAACCCGCTGTTAAGCAAAGAAGTTGTGTATAATAAAGCAGTCGTGCATAACAACGTCGTAAAACATCACATATCGTCAAAAAGTACAAAACTTTAAGAATGCAATTTAAATTTCCGAGGAGCACTTGAAGGCAGCACGAAACACAGCGCATCAGCAAGACACCGCCCCCAAATATCACGCCGACGTCATGAATAAGTAATGAAGTCAACTTGATTATTGTTTTTCTACAGTTTAAACGAGGTGTACAAATTTCACACTTAACCAATTTAGTGCAGGGTACACATAATGTACTCAGCTGATAGTAAGTGTGTGTTCTATGCACGTTCAGTTATATACTATGATATAAATGTGATGGGTGTCAAAGGTTATAAACATATACAGTATTTGGAGCAGATGCATGCTTGACTTTCATACCTTTCAGCAAAGAGATAATTTAAACCGTGCCCTAACATACTGTAGATAACTAAAGTTCATTTCACTGCATTCTGGTAATACCAAAGAGGTCACATGATCAGCCAAACCCAAAAAATCTTAAAGCTTGTCCTCGCTGAAATATGTCCAGGTATGACTAAAATGTGAAAGGAGGAGGTGTATGACTCTCAGCCACATCATCAACAGGCACGCCTATCTGTGACAGGTTAACCGTCGCCGCTTTGTTGTATTTTTCTGCAAGCTGTTACTTCACTATCAGAGGGTTGCAGTTCAACAACAACATTACACTATTTGTCTTTTTGTTACCTTTAAAACATATGCAAACACGAATCTCTGCATTTAACATACAGAGCTTAATGTTAAGATCAGTGTGGTTGGCTGAGTGGAGTCAAAACACCACCAAACACAGTGTTGTTAAATCCCACTTTGATTCCAGGGCTTATGGAAGGAGGAGTGAAACAGGCCAGGGGAAGGAAGAGAGAGTAGGGCTACAACATATAGACACACCCAGTCCAACAAAGTGTGAGAGACAGACGGAGTAATGAGCCTGTGTGGAGCAATAGGAGGGTGTGGCTTTTTTTTTTTTTTTTTTACACAGGGAGAACAGATAAGCTTAGTTTGCCTTGTAGAAAGGGGCAGGAGTCACAATCCTCAACACACAGCAGTTTACTTTCACTCTGCTGGTCTCTCAGGCAGTCCAGCTGCACACTTCCACTCCCTCTCTCCTCTACATTCTTCCAGCAGTTTGGGGGCAAGACTTTGCGAGGAAGCAGCTTCCCGCACACAGAACTGAAAACACAAGCAGGCAGCTTGAGAGAAACTTCAAGACGCAGCCATGAAGGACAAAGTGAGAAGAGGAGGAGGAGGAGGAAGAAATCAAGCCAAGACTGGTAAGGAATCCCTGTGATATGTTGGTTGTTCTTCTCTGCTCCTTTTTCACTCTTGTCTCTCTTTTGCACTTTCCTCTTGTTTTTTTTTCTCTTTTTTTTTTTGGTGCCTCCCTTGCTGGAGAATGTGTGAAGGGTGGGAGATTTAGCACTGAACTGCTACTCTGACATGGCCGGAGCTGCTCTTTCCTTTCTGGGAGAATCTACTTTGTATTTTGTAACTTTTATGGCACTTTTTTTCCAGGCAGACACGTGCTCTGCTTTGTTACAGCTGGAATCCACCGAAAGCCATTGCCAGTTTAGGATTCTTTAAGAAGGACGAAGAGTAGATTTTATGTCTGTTTCTCCGAAATAAAAATCCTTTTAGAATTCAGTTGTCTGCTTTACTACTTACTTCTGCTTTTGCCACACTGTCGAGTGGGCCTCTTAACCTGCCTTAACATTTGCCACTCCCCTCCCACAAAACAGAATGACTGAATTAAGGTGAGTGTGTGTTGGCCTGTCTCCAGATGAGATTGCCTTGAGGTGTTTTCTCCAAAGAATTACATGAATCTGTGAGCGTAAGCGCTATGATTGATGGGCTATGCCAATTATAGTGAATTAATTTTTCTTGCTTGTTAAATTATCATTCAAGTCGGCTTTAGATATCAATGCCAAAATAAACTTGTCACTAATGGAAACAATGCTGTTTCTGTAGTAACATTGCAGAAGCAGCGTCCGTAGAGAAGGTGCGGATGGCTTCAAGCTTGCACAGAGGAGGGACGTTCCTCCAGCCAATCGCAAACAGCTATTTTTTGGGTGCTCTCCAGTGGTAAAGCAGACCCAGACTGATAGCAAAAACTGAGCATTTACTGTAGAATGACTGACAGCCGCCACAGATAAGAACAAAGTCAATTTCTGGCTTTGTTGCATGCACGTCAAAGGTGTTATATATACAGTATGTCCATGCATCAATGCAAGTCTGCATGGTCCACTGCCAGGCTTTAGGTTTGTCAGTTTTTGTGTCATCACACTCTGCTGTCTCTACATGCCTGCGCTGGGTGTGGTTGTCCCTTCGCTTTACCCTGAGATGACATGAGGGCCAGTAGGCAAATTCAACAGGTTTAGTCACACTTCAGTTTGTGGAACACGCCGAGTCCTGCTCTCCTTCAAGTTCTGCAAGTGTGTGTAAAAAGGTGGACACACCCCACTTTCATTTTCTTTGTCTCTCTCTCTCTCTCTTTTTTTTTTTTGCATAAATTCACTCCCAGCCTCAGGCACTCTCACACACACAGACTTTTGAACCCGGCTCAGAATAATTTTAGGAGAAGATTAGAGTTTTTGTCTGATTCAGCAGCAAGAACAGAGGATAGAATCCGAACATAATAAGCCGCGATTAGAACCCATTCATTCTTTCATGCTGTTATCCGCATATTTTGTGTAACAACAAGTTTTCAGGGTCACAGTGAGCTGGAAACTATTCTGGTATGTAATGAGTGAAGGGCAGGAAAACAACTCTTGATTATTTGCTTTGTCCTTTGTAGGGCTCTGTGATTATCCTCAGTCAGTTTCGTTTCTCTCATGTCTCCCTCGAATAGATGTAATCAGCCTGAGTGGTGGAAATGATGCCGCTGGTATGAAGCAAGATGAGGACACATCGTTCTCAATGAAGATCCAGGGGGCCGGAGTAGAGCCATTTGAGCTGCAGGTACACACTGTTAGTTTCTTTCAGGCATTGTTCCCTCTAGTTTTAAAGATCAAGAAGATTTAATGAGTGATCCAGAAATTGTGAAAACCAAGCTGAGACAACATATTTTTTTTTTACCAATTCAACATCTTTATCCTCACGTGTAAATAGCTGAATTTTAATCTGACAGGCTTGTTTGTATGTGGACATTACTTGGTGCACTGAAACGTACGTGTTTGCAGGTTCATGGATTTTGGCTTGTTCAAGATGCAGTAATGACTCTGCTTTCGAGGAATGAGGTGTCTCCACGCTCCAACTTGTCACTGGCGCTGGCTGGTACGACTCTGGATCCTCTTGCACAGCTGCAAAGCCTCAAGGGCCTTAAAGCAGGAACCATCCTTCGCCTGGTGGAAGGTAGACTTCTATTTTTTAGCTTTGTTTTCAATGTTTCTATCCATATTTTTTGGATTCAGTTTGATGGCAGGCTGTTACTGTGTTTAGCAGTTTTTACTCTCCTTCTATTTTGAAAAATGCCCTTAATTGCATTCCCACATTAAATTGGGTGTAGCATCTGAAATACTTTGAACCGATGTATGAATGATGAAGAAACTGTGAAAATGTCAGAAAGCCCCGAGATGATGCAGAAAACAGAAAAGTGGGCGTTTACAATCAGTAAAATTTAAGGATAATTTCCCATCTAAAATTGAAAAATCTTTTTCAGTGTAAGTGAAGTAGCATTTGTAGTGCTTTAACTTTTGAATTGTATTTGTCATTATGATTTTGGTCAGTGTGCGATTGGCCTGGTATTGTCCAAAAAATATTGGAAAAAAGAGAATGAATACGATTTTTTTGCAAAGTCGAGGACTTGCTTAAGCCTGCAAAACCACCAGAAGCCAATAATGCTGGCTTCCTTGGAGCGATTACGGAGTAAATGTCACACCAGTTCTTAGCTCAGATTTTGTAGCTGTTGTTTATTAGCATATTAGTAACTCAGAGTTCTTGAATTCATAATTTTACCATTACCAGGACACTTGACTTCAATCTAGTTTGTTACTGCATGATTTGTTTGATATTTGTGTTTATAAGATAACCTTATTATTAATTGTTTTTGGATCTCTTTAAGAATAATCCTATCCACATTTTCATCACCCTTTCACTTCCACACACACACACTTAAGTCTCTCTCAGCTCAATGTAAACAGCTGACTCACCTCTCCTGAGTCATCCTAACAGGGTTTATGGTCACAGAGATTTATCGGTGCAGAGATTACAGCTATGTGCCAACCAATTAGACTGTTTCTCACCCTCAAGCTGTTGAACTAATGAAACAAATTGCCCTGTAGCTTCTTCCTTATCACCGACTGATTTGTTTATGACATTTGTAATATTAAACTCCAAATAAGACACTCACTTAATTAGACAGTTGTCATACTTATGTGAGTTTACTAAAGAGGTTCAGTGTAAATTTAATGTGAATGTCTTTCCAGAGCCCTACACTTCCCGCTCAGCCAGGCTCCATCTGGCTCGTGTCCTGGAGCTGCTGAGAGCATCCGGACCGCAGGATGCTCTGAGAGAAGGACGTTCACCGAGCATACTGGAGACTCTCACGCACACTCAAACACCAGGTACACACACATACTGTGCAGCTAGACGAGATGGGCGACACAAAGGCTTAAAGAAGCATCTAACTCGTGGTAAAATCTCTCTTTGTTTCTGGGGCAGACTCTGGCCTGCCAAATGGAAAGAGCATGAAACGCTCTTTGAGCAAC